TATATATATATATATATATAAAGCCAATGATGACAACGATAAATTTGCTTTAAAAAAACGAAAGGCGAGATGTTTATCCCCCCCCCCCCACCACACACACAAAAACAAAATACGGTCGTGTCCGAGGGATGAAGGAGCGACCCACAGCTTGAGAGACACTGACATAAAGTAATAAAATCAGGCCTGTCTTTACTTCTATGGTTCATTAACTACTAACATTTTCACTAGGCCTAGTACGCCACATTTTAGCGATTACAATCTAATAAAAACAGGATAATGTTCAGGCCTAACCTGAAACTAATATTTTTTTTTCTTGGAATAACCGACTATTTCTTGCTTACCAAGCAAGTGATCTACTGATCTAACTAAAGGGTTTACCCCGAAAGCTAGAACTAATAAGGCATATGTAAATGTTGGGATCTTACACTAAACACAAAGGTAGAATGTAACAAATCATAACCATATGTAAATGTTGGGATCATAGACTAAACACAAAGTTAGAATGTAACAAATCATAGCCATATGTAAATGTTGGGATCTTACACTAAACACAAAGGTAGAATGTAACAAATCATAGCCATATGTAAATGTTGGGATCTTACACTAAACACAAAGGTAGAATGTAACAAATCATAGCCATATGTAAATGTTGGGATCTTACACTAAACACAAAGGTAGAATGTAACAAATCATAACCATATGTAAATGTTGGGATCTTACACTAAACACAAAGGTAGAATGTAACAAATCATAACCATATGTAGATGTTGGGATCTTACACTAAACACAAAGGTAGAATGTAACAAATCATAACCATATGTAGATGTTGGGATCTTACACTAAACACAAAGGTAGAAAGAGGAATTTTTAAATCACTAAGTTGGGCTGAGAGTCTGTCTATCAAACTTCTTATTCGCTGGAAACTAAAGCCTTAAGTCGTAAAATAAAATACCAAACTCCCTCATCATACTAACAGAATTGATTATATATTTTACAATAACCTAGATTGTAGTTTTGATCACTCGTGAAATTTGAAGTTTAATATTTTTTATTATAAATCAGCTAAGTAATCTTACTATTTTCGTGCATGTGTTTTACCCAGTAATGTTTTTAATGGTGGTTGACCTGATTTGTCCTGCTTTGTTCATTATAATTATAATGATAACTCCCTATAATTCAGTTCTAAAAATACCAGAAACAAATGACATGTAAGTGACTTTTTTTTTACAATAAAGGTACATTATTTCGTGTGATAAGAAAATTAAGTCTTAATTATACTACCCCTTATTATGTAGATCCAATCAACCTGTTATTAGGAAGATAAACTTTATATCGTTATTGGGGTCACTTTTGAAGCTAATAACCTAAAATATTACAATAAAACCCTTCTCTAGATTTCAGAAATATTCAGGTGTAGTCCACTGAATATAGTAAATGTGTGAAGTATTTAATTCGAACTTACATTGATACTCCAGATCTATGTCTCTGGTCAGGTCAAAACTTGATGCAGCTTCCCCTTTACCCTTGAACTTGAAGGTTGACCTTCCTCCATCGGTTCTGATCCTTCTTCGTCGTTCAGTGAGTAAGGTGTCACTATCAGATTGAGATCGTCTCAATTGTAAGTTACCTGTAGTGATCACGTTATTAACTTGTCTTGTAGGGCTATTTAATTCAACATGACTATGGATGCTCTGAAGACAGTTTGTTCTACTGTCTTCATTGCCCTTTTTCTGCTTTTCGGTTATATCTTCGTGAATTTTCTCTTCCATATCTCTGAAATTTATATTATAGTTTCTAGGAATCCCTTGTCGACAGCTGTTATAGGTTCTTCTTGCCACATTATTCTCAATATCGGGATCGTTTCTTACTCGACAAAAGACTTTCATCATATTTTGTTCATTCACCACATATTGCCTATCTGTTTCGACGGCTCCACTCGAGTCTCTGGCTTTTGTTTTCTTAGATATTTTACGAGTACAGTCATCACCACGTACAACTGAGATTGTTGTATTAGTTAAGCCTTTGTTCAGATAGCAGTCAGTGTCAGTGTTAGGACTAGAGGTTTCGCTTTCTTTCCCTTCGCTGTACCTGTCTATACGATACTGCGTTAGTTTGGTGTATTTGTGTTTCGACGTTAATTTAATATCCAGCCCACTGTATTGTTTTGGTATACTTTCTTGGATATTTGTAATGTCATTGGTAGATGTGATTGCATCGTTTAATTCAGTCCCATTCTTTAAGTGTCCAACAATTGTTATAGTGTCCCTGTTTGATGGAAAATATACAGTAGAACAATGTGTCATTACTTCATCTGTATTCACTGGACCACGCATATTATAATAAAAGTTCTCTATATTGCTATCTTCAACCACTGCTTTCTCATTTGTCTTTTTTATCAGTCTCGCCTGTTTACTGTAATAATTTGTGAACCTATGATTTTTTATATCTTTAAGATTTTGTTTGTTTCCCATTATTGGTTCTGATCTGTTTACTTCGTTTCCTACTGCTGGTTCTGCTATGTTCACTTTGTTTCCTTTTATTGACTCAAATAATGTAAGCACATCATAACAGGAAGCAAGTGGGCACATCAGGACCAACAATGGGGTACTTTGTGTACTTTTTTTCTTGTTGCTACTTCTTCTGTGCTTCCTTTGTTTCCCATTGTTGGTTTTGCTATTACCACTTTGTTTCCCTTTGTTAGTCCTGGTTTGCTTACTTTGGTTACCATTATTGATTCTGCTGTGCTCACTTTGCTTCCTCTTACTGATTCTACTTTGTTTACTGTTGCTGGTGCTCCTGTGTTCACTTTATTTCCTGTTTCTCCAGTTTTCACTTTCTTTCCTATTGGTGATTCTCTTATATTCACTTTGGATTCTGTTGCTGGTTCTCCTGTGTTTACTTTGATTTCTGTTGCTGCTTCTCCTGTGTTTACTTTGCTTCCTGTTACTGGTTCTCCTGTGTCCAGTTTGTTTCCTGTTGCTGGTTCTCCTATGCTCACATTCTTACCTATTGCTGGTTCTCCTGTCTTCAGTTTGTTTTCTGTTGCCGGTTCTCCTGTGCCCAATTTCTTTTCCTTTACTAGTTCTGATGCATTCATTTTGTTTCGTATTGCTGGTTCTGGTATGTTCACTTTGATTCCTTTTGATGGTTCTCTTGTGTTCTCTTTGTTTCCTGTTGCTGGTTCTCCTGTGCTCAATTTGCTTTCTGTTGCTGTTTCTCCTGTGTTCATTGTGTTTCTTGTTGCTGGTTCTTCTGTGTTCAGTTTGTTTTCCATTACTGGTTCTCCTCTGTTCAGTTTGTTTCCTGTTGCCGATTCTCCTGTTCCCAGTTTGTTTCCTTTTACTGATTCTGATGCATTCATTTTGTTTTCTATTGCTGATTCTCCTATGTTTACTTTGTTTTCTGTTGCTGGTTCTCCTATATCCAAATTGTTTTCCTTTACTGGTTCTGGTGCATTCACTGTGCTTCCCGTTGCTGGTTCTTCTGTGTTCAGTATATTTTCCCTTACCAAAGTAAACACAGGAGAACCAGCAACAAGAAACAAAGTGAACATGCCAGAACCAGCAGTACGAAACAAAATGAATACACCAGAATCAGTAAAGGAGAACAAACTAGGAACAGGAGAACCAGGAAAAGGAAACAAACTGAATATTGGAGAATCAGTAAGGGAAAATATACTGAACACAGAAGAATCCCTTCCTGTTGCTGGTTCTCCTGTGCTCAATTTGTTTCCCTTTACTGGTTCTGATGCATTCATTTTGTTTTCCTTTACTGGTACTGGTGTGTTTACTTTGTTTCCTGATGCTGGTTTTCCTGTGTTCACTTTGTTTTCTGTTGCTGGTTCTACTATGTTAATTTTGTTTCTTATTGCTGGTTCTCCTATTTTCACATTTTTTCCTGTTGCTGGTTCTCCTGTGCTCATCTGTTTCCCATTGTTGGTTTTGGGGTAGTCATTTTGTTTTTTATTGCTGGTTTTTCTGTGTTCAGTTTGTTTCCTATTGCTGGTCCTGCTGTACTCTCTTTGTTTCCACTTGCTGGACCTACTGTATTCTCCTTGTTTCTCCTTGCTGGTTTTTGTGTGGCCACTTTGTCTCCTTTTGCTGATCCCGCTGTGTTCAGTTTTCTTCCTGTTGCTGGTTTTTGTGTGACCACTTTATTTCCTGTTGCTGGTTCTCTTGTGCTCATATTGTTTTCTGTTACCGTTTCCCATGTGTTCATTTTGTTCCCTGTTGCTGATTTTAATGTTCCCATGGTCATATCAATAGGAGATTTTCTATAGGAAACTTTGCTTGCTATAGGATCAATTTTTATAACTGAAACATGACTATTTTTCCTATCACTCTTACTTTCATAAACACAATTTTGTTCTTCTCTTACTTCTTGGAGCTTTTTTGTATATTGTTGCGTTAAGACATTCCTTTCGATTTCTTTTTCTAAGTTGATGTTCAGCTGGCTATATATATTCTCTTCTTTCTGTCTTTCTTCTACGTTAAGAAGACCACTTTGAATTTGAGTTCCTCTACTTTGTGTTAATTCATAGTTTAATTTTTCTACATCTGTATCATTGTCCTTTACTCCTAGCTCGTATTCCATAATTTTGTTCTTCTGGTGGAAGTTTCTCTGTTTCGTACATTTACTTAGTTCAGCAAGGTTTACTTGTTCATGTGTAGTTTCTCCAGTAGATTCCCTGAACACGTTACAGTTTTCAGGATAGCCAACTATTGTTACAAAACCTTTCCACTCTTCTACATCATTTCTTCTCTTTCCTACATAATTGGAAGATGATTCATCTATTTTTACTGTTGCCCCACTTCCCTGGTATTCAGTTGTTTTTTCCAGATCATCACTGGTTAATAAAAAAGGTATGATATAACCTTTGTTCACCAGAGTTTCTTTCTTATTTTCCTTTTCAATGTCAGTCAACTGCGCCAGATGTATATCGTTATTACTGTTTACTGCAGCTTTCACAGAAAGTGGAACCTGCTTGTATGGTTTCCTGTTCACTTCAATGTCTGTCAACTCAACTAGATGTGGATTATTGTCATTGTTTACTACATCTTTCACAAAACATGGGATGTATTTATAATGTTTCCTGTTCATAGGAAGTGGGATGTTCTTGTAAGGTTTTCTATTCACTTTAGTATCAGTTAACTCAGTCAGATATGGATGCATGTCACTGTGTACTACATCTTTCACAGGAAGTTGGAGGTGCTTGTAAGGTTTTCTGTACACTTCAGTATCAGTTAACTCTGTCAGATGTTGACTGTTGTCGTTGTGTATTACATCTTTCACAGGGATTAGGATGCTCTTGTAAGGTTTTTTGTTTACTTCAATATCAGTTAACTCAGTCAGATATGGATGCATGTCACTGTGTACTACATCTTTCACAGGAAGTTGGAGGTGCTTGTAAGGTTTTCTGTACACTTCAGTATCAGTTAACTCTGTCAGATGTTGACTGTTGTCGTTGTGTATTACATCTTTCACAGGGATTAGGATGCTCTTG